GGAAGATTTCCTTATGCTATTGAAGTAAAAAGTAGTCCAGTTTCCCATTTCTAGATGGTCTGTCAATATAGAACTACAGTGTCAAAAAAATTGCAGTTATTGAAGTTACTGTTAAACTATTTTTGAGAACATTTTATTTAATTATTTTTCCCTAGTTTTTAGTCTCATACACATAGCTACAACATAACTACAATAAAGGGGCAAGATAACGACATGTAATACAGTTTTTACATGCTTTCCAAAACAGTTTTGACACTACTGTCAGGTTGGCTAGCAAGTGCAGAATGCACTGTTTGGTAGAAAGCACTGATGATTATATATTGTGTCTGTATTGCATAGGCTGAGGAAAACTTGGTGTCTCATTTTTTTTCATGAAAAGTCCCATAGCTTAGCTCTACCAGCCTTGGGAAAAGAGAGTAGAGATCAACTATAGATGAACCATTTCCTTTCATCTACCTAGAAATTTCACTTTTTTCTGCCAATTACCAGAGGTTCACAGCAGTACTGTGTATTTTCTCGGCAATCTATCAACCTCTTCTTCAGAAGGATAAAACAAAAAATAACATCCAATTTTTCTTTCTGATACTAGCCCATTATTCTGTCTTTGGTCTCCAGGTCAATACACCATTATTTCTCAGTGCTGAAGGATATAACATTGGCAATAGACTAAGAACCAGCAATGGAGGAAGAAAGAAATATTTTTCTGTATGATTATTTATATCCAAATAACGATGTTGATTTGGAGCTGGTCAGATTTTGATAATGGAAGAATTTGTTCTGACAGGGAGGAAGTCTAGAGGGCAGGGTGCAGAGAGAGAAGTCAGAAAGTATATAAGAAATGCAATTTATTGCAAGTTCCATAACTAATTGTCACTCTGTCACCGTGGGACTGAAAAGGGGCCCCGAGGGATATGACAAAATATGTGTAGAGCGGCGCTGAATGTGCATCTGCAAAACTGAATCATTCAGATGAATTCAAATACGTGCTCAATTTGATTATGGGAGATAGGGGACACTGAGATTCAGGACAAGTCTCCGCTACTAAGGATGCATCTCCTCATGGTGGTGAAGCATACACATTTTGCATCACTGTGCTTATACTGGTTTCCTGGGAATTCATTATAGTGACTTGCTGCCATACTAAGCAAGTAACTACTCTGCTGTAAACATTTCCAGCAATGCTGGTGGAACTTCCCCACCTCATCTTATTTAATTATTTATTTTAGTTTTAACTCACTCTGACAGTCTTTTGAGATACAGAGCTCATTTTCATGAGGGCTCCCAGGAGGCAGCAATAACGCAAGTCTACTATGCAGTTGCATACATCATTATAACAAAAAACATAAAGCAGGACACTTAATCTGAAGTTGCAGACAAGAGCACTGAGCAGTCAACATCTCAGTATGTTAGCTTAAGGCAGACATTTAAGGGATTTCAGAAAATTCAGTCCTTTTTTTGGTCACTCACAGTTCAAGTTTGTCTAGTCTTTGCTCTACTGTCTCTTCTGTGTTAACCATTTAAAGTCTTTCCATCTGTGTTTGCCCCTTTAGACAAACTTTGCTGTCTTCATGGCAGAGTTGAGGTTTCTTTTGCGGGGGGGGGGGGGGGGGATGAGGGCAGGTTTCTAATGCATGTTTATTCTAGACTTTTAGGAGGGTGCTGAGTAAGGAAGAATGAGGACCTTTGTACTGAGCATTAATTAGTCTTTGGTTTTAAAAGATGTTTACCAGAGTGAAAACACTTCAAAGAATCTTCACTAAGAATCCTTCCTCTTTTAATTGTTGGGTTTATCATAGTAGAAATGATTCTCCAGGCTTCACACTCAATTCAGGAACAGTTGAGTCCTGAATTTCTAAGCATGATTGTAACAGGAAGTAGATGCCATTGTAATCTTTCTTTTTAGTAGTAGTATTATTATTTTAGAAAATATTTGTTCTGAATAAGAATTTTAAAACTTTAATTTTTGGGGCAGGTGTGTCCTGGTTTGAGGTAAAACAGGACCAATTTGGTTCAGTAACTTCGCTTCTTAGCTTTAAAAGCTACTCTCTGAATTAAGTTAAATAACATAGTGGTTTTGGCAAAATGTAAATTTAATGCCTCCTACTTATTGGTAAGAAGGATAGGTATTTTTGAGATTAAGAAATCCTTCATAGTTTGCTGCTTTTTTCGTGTTTGTTCTAAGTCATATATGAGCCAGACTATAAAATAAGACAGTTTAGAAGCTCCATCTTGGTATTTTTAATTAATATTTTTTTTCTATGCATGACTTCTGAGACCGGGGAGAAACAAAGTTCTGTATAGTAAATCTTGATTTGTTGGTATCTTCTGCACTCTCAGTTGGAGCACGTCTTATAAGAAGCTGCTGAGGGAACTGGGATTGTTTATCCTGGAGAAAAGGAGGCGAAGGGGAGAACTTATCACTCTCTACAACTACCTGAAAGGAGGTTGTAGCGCAGCGAGCATCAGTCTCTTCTTCCAAGTAACAAGTGATAGGACAAGAGGAAATGGCCTCAGGTTGTGCCAGAGTAGATTTAGATTGGATATTAGGAAAAAATTTCTTCACAGAAAGAGTTATCAAGCATTGGAAGAGGCTGCCCAGAGAAGTGGTGGAATCACCATCCCTGGATGCATTTAAAAGATGGGTAGACGTCGTGCTGAGGGACATAGTTTAGTGGTGGGTTTGGCAGTGCTAGGTGGGACTTGATGATCTTAAAGGGCCCTTCCAACCTAGACGATTCTATGATTCATTTATATTTACTCTTTTATAAGGCAAGAATTTTCCACCACCACCATCCCCACAGTTTTTATAAGGGGAAGTTCAGTAGTAATGTTTTCAAATACATTTTAAATGTGCCATTCTGAGAAATCTCAATGCACTTTATATACAATTTTTAACTTATTATGCACTGCTTATAGTCTTATGAACTGCTCCCAGGCATTTCCCAAGATGGAAACAAAGGGAAGAAAAATAATACCTGAATGGATAAAACTGCAGCCTTATCATTTTGTGAGGTACTGCTTAATAGTAATGTACATCTGAAGTATAACAATGACTAATCTATTTAAATAGCTCATCTGTAAATATAGAAATCTTTAGAAGAAAATTGCATGCCTCTAGGCAAAAACTCATTTCTAACAAGAATCAAGAAAGAATGCAGAAAGGCAAGGAAACCAAGGAAGAAGAGTATATGGTTAGAAACAAATGTGAGACTCAGAATATCTGGATTCTGTCCCTGGTATAACTTAGACTTCATACAACATTTAGCTCTGAAAAATTCCTATTAAATCACACTTGTATTTAAAGAAGGTGATAATACATCATTTTGTATGAATCTGTTTTGAGATGGGAGGTGAGGTTTTTAAGAGGCCAGTGGCTTGGTCTTTGTAGGGCTTGAGGGGAGATTACATTGATATGGAAATAAGAAGCAGGCTAATGCTAAATGTCTAAAAATTTCTTTCCTCAGTGGAAAATACTGTACAGAGTTTCTTTTTGAACTCCTGCTGAGCCACAAGATACCGGAGTTCTTTTACTTCAGCATAGCCCACTGTCCTGAACTGAGTAATAGCAATGGAAAATATGTCCTTTCTGAGTATTTCTAATGTACAGCAGTCTTGAAGTATTCTTCCATTATTCTGATGAGAAACTGTACTTAGATGAATACAGAAGAAAGTATAGTTGGGCTTCCAATATTATTATGGATTTGAAAGAAGCATAAGGGGAAAAAATCTGCAGCCAAAAGACAGTTGATGAGCTTCCTTCCATTGCAGTATTTTTCCATCTGATTTCGAATTTCTTGTTTGATTCTTCTTTAGAGATTTTGAATTTGGTTTGTTGGGTTCCTGTGAAACTTAGAAACATTAGTTTTATTGTGTTTCTGCTTATTGTGTTTCTGTTTACATAACTTGTAATGGCTTTATGATAGTCAAAGAAAGCCAATATTGGAAGGCGGTTCTAATATTGGTAGATTTAGTTGCATGTTTTGAGACTCCCAACTGACAGATCTCTGATACCTTCCAATAACTGAACAAACAATTACCTTAGGTTAACTATTTCTCTAAGGTTGAAGAGTTATTTTATTTCTTTCAAGGTACTTTGCTTTAAGCGCTACATCAACTTCCATGCCCACTTTCACATATTACTGTTGTAGTATAAAAGGTTACATTTTCCTTTTTTAAGTTGAGAAAATACTGTCACTGGGAACTTAGATGCTTTTATAAAAATAATACTGATCATCTAAACAACAGTACTCGAACTTTCTGTCAGTATGAAATAATTTTCTGAGGTTGCAGTATGATATTGGTTGGAATTTATGTAAAGCACAGACAATAAAACCTCACATTTTGACTGAAAGTTCCTGTCAGTATGCTCTAAGAATGACTCAGAATCCTCAAAGCCCATTTTGAAAGCATGCTTTTGAAACCCATCATAGCCTTCATATTTTTCACCATGTTGGATCTCTGTGTGGTGTATGGGAGATCAAGAACTCGCATGAAATGAATTACCAATCACTACCTATCTAATGACACTGTAGCAGTGATTTTATTTTACTGCCAGACCAGGTCAGTGATTTTCTGGTAAAGGCCAAAGGAACTGTCCTGAATCATCCAGTTTTTAATGTGTGTGTTTTCATAGGTTGGAAGAGCCATGCTAATTCTTAAGGTATTTTAATAAAAACAATCTGAAAACACTTTTACAGAAAGGATTGAAAAGACATGTAGTTGCAATGAGAGTCTTTGAGAGACCGGTTAATTCAGCTGTGAGTGTAATCTAAGGTCAGAAACCTGCAAATTGCTGGTCTTAGTGATGAGTAAGTGGCTTTCTTTTCTTTCCTTATTAGATAGAAAATGGTCGGCTGTGGAACTCTATTGTGAAGACCTCAGAAGAATTATCAATTTTTCCAGTCAGCTTTTCATGATGTAAATATAATTTGAGCTTTCCCAAATGGGCAGCTAAACCATGAACAAGCAGAAAAACCCATTTTGGACTGTATTTCTGAACCAGGCTTCACCTTCTGTCTCGGGAACTTATTAAAGGATTACAGCTGAAAAAGACAAAAGAAAGAAAATCTTGATCAGGAAGCTTATCCTACAATGAGAATTACAAGTACATCTTGTATCTGCCCAGTCCTAGTTTGTCTCTGTTTTGTGCAGAGGTGTTATGGAGCTGCTCACCATGGCTCCATCAAGGTGACCAGAAATCAAACCAAACACGTAGAAGGCGAAACAGAAGTGCATCATCGTCCCAAGCGTGGATGGGTGTGGAATCAGTTCTTTGTTTTAGAAGAACACATGGGACCAGATCCTCAGTATGTGGGAAAGGTAAGGTCATTATCTTCTTTTTGGTTTTGGTTTTGCCATCCCCTGAAATGTGGCATTGATAGAAGAAAAACAGGTATCTCTTTAGATGGCACCTCCTTTTTTTAAAGGAGGACACCTCTTGGATTGCTGAATACATGCACACTGAACTCAGCAGTTGTATATGTATACTTTATGTGTTTATTATAAAGAAAAAAGATAAATAAATTAAATCGGCTGGAGATATTAAAATATAAAATACCTTTTCTTCTGAGCTCAGCTAAACATGGACTGAGAGCAGCTGATCCTCTTACATCGGATTCTAGAACCCCAAATGCATGGGACTGAAACATATCACTGCTAAAGACTTTTCCAGACTATTTCAGAATAAGGTTCAATTCTGCTTGAGGGAATATTATAAATACAGCCTAGGCTCCATAGGGTATTCATTCCACTCTGACGGTAGGGTGGAAAAGGACTCCTCCAAAGGGAGATCCTCTGTGACTTTGTTCGTAAAAAGTGACAGGAGGTGTGTTACTTGTTACAGTTCATCAGAAGCCTGTGAGAACAACAAGCCCTGCATTTATGTTTTGGTATATATAGTGAACTTCAGGCATAAAGTTCATGCTGATGCAGTTGGATGGCCAACTGAAGTCTGGTTTATCAAGTGTATTGTCTGTATAGCTTGGGTTTAAAATTTGCACTAAAATAACACAAAAGTGTATAGCTAGCTTTATTGCAAGATGAATGATGGATCTCTTCTTCTCAGATCTTTTCTCCCCCTGAACACTGTCTTTCAGCATTATGGTAGATTTTTTTATTACATAATCTAGGTGAATCTTAATTTCCTTAATGAAACTGGAGAAAGACATTCATTTTGAGGGGCGAAGAAAAATGGTTAATGGGGATAAGGGCGTAGAAAAGGAATTATTTCATTTTAGTTTGCCTTCAAGTTGGGAATCCTGAAAATTATATCTTAGAGTATGAAAAGTACCCAAGAAAACCCGTAGCTTCTGAAGTCATAGATGTGTTGTAGCAAGGGCTTTCAAATTACAAGTGTCACCTGAATGAAAAAGTAGCTAGTGAAGCATCTCTATCAAGATACTGTTAACATAAAGACCAAAAAGAAATTATGTAGTTATACCAACCTTAGTAAAATACCAAGTATTTCAGTATTCTGAAAATTGTTGAGATGTGTGCAGGAAATGTAAAGAGAAGAGCTATTTAAGTTGATTCAGCTTTTAATGGAAAAAATGAGGTCTTGGTGACCATGAGTTAATTCAGAATGGAAATAAGAAAATAAGTGAGATTCTGAAGGACCCTACTAA